GGCAACCAATATCCCAACTGAGCCGCAGGAGCAAAATGCAATCTGTCACATTCAGATGCCAGATGCATTTCTCTGTCTAGTTGCATAAAGGTATCGATCAAAAGCTAGACATCTATCATAGATTACACTCGGATATAGTACATATCAATTTCCCAGAACGCTTGTATTGCGCAAGGATATACAGTTAGAGTCGTTTCATTACAAAGATGGAACTTAGAGATTAGGTGGGATTTCAGGTAAATGAATGTCATGTCCAACTTGGAACTACAATAATTCCAGAGAGGAGACCTTCCTCACTTGTGTTGCTTGAGATACGTAAGAGGTAGGCAGTAGTTATAGGGTATTTTCTGTTGTTTTTTGTATGACTCTGGTTTCATATTGAGAAATTTCGCTTAGTCTATAAACAGTCAGGGAAAACCTGAAGGCTTTTCAGAAAAAGCCAACGTCCCCTTCTAAAAAACTAGTAATATATTCTTCGTCCGGCCGACCATAGACGGCTAACTATGGACAGCTGTTTCATGCTTTTTGGCATCATCATGGTCTAGGGTTGATCTCAGGTCAATATCAAAATGAGACACCTCAAAGTGTCATCTATTTCCAGAATCGACCACTGCGAGAGCGAAAGAGCAATCTGTCTCTCGGAAATATATCCAACAGGCAGCTTGTTCAAATAAATAAACTGAATACCCTTTCATAAAGAATGCAAGTTCTAAATTTAAATTTCCCCAGTGTAATCCAATAAAAAGTACTTTTTGAATCTTGTCAAGGTAGATCTCGAGACAACGAACGCAATTAGGAAATGTCAGCGCTGCTACTCTTTATTTTGGTGGCCATTTGAATTGAACGAGCCAGAATAAAATGAGTACTGACATTAAGCGCGGTTACACTGTTTTTTCGTCACCACGTTTATTCACTACTTATCCGAGAAATCTCCATTATAGACCACAATGCCTTATTGAGCAGTCTCATTCTCCTCTCTAGGTGAACGAATATAAGGAAAACATCGAAAGTAGGAAGACTACTGGCGATAAGAGGTTAAACTGCCTAGGGCAAGACATGTATTCATATGAAGCCAATACCGTCGGTAAGAAGGACATAGCTCTCGAAAATCTAGAGCTCCTAGAAGTTCTGTGCATTTATACAGGGTGACGGGAAAATAGATGCGGAGCCGGTGGGAGAAGATAGTACAAGCCAATTTGAGTCGATTTTACTATAGGAACTCCTGTCCGAAAATAAATTAGCCGTTTTCGAATTATAGTAATTTTAAAGATTTTATAAAATTAACGTACTTTATACGTTAACCAAGTCATAAAACTTGAAAATTGGGTGTTTTATTAAAATTTTCTTTGTTTTAGAATAAAAATATTCTAAAATACGAAAATTTACATTATTGACGTTATCTCATGTAGTAACCTTCAAATAAGTTCGATTTTTGCCAAAAAAATCTTCGTTCATCTTAAAAGCTGCAGTTTTCTAGAAAAAGTCGCATAGAAATTTTTCGTACAAAATAATTAGAAAACATCTGCGTTTCATTACCATTCAAATGAGGTATAAAAACCACAAATCGATTAAGAATTGACAAAAATATGACTATTATAAGAGGAGGAAGGAAAAAGCAATAAAAATAGTACGCTTACAAAATCATACGTTAATACAGGATATATATTTGAAACTATATTTTTTTATTTTATAATACATTTTCAATATGGCGCCTTCTATTTCTAATGCACGCACGTGCTTTTCTTATGACAGTTGATTTTACTAACGCCGAATTCCTAAGAGAGGCTTGAATTCCTTGTGCTGCATGTATTATCCTGTTTCTGAGGTCTTCTATTGTGGGTACAGGATTTTGATCAGAGTATACTAAAGTTTTCATGCGACCCCACACAGAAAAGTCCATAGGTGTGAAATCGGGACTGCGTGCTGGTTATGGGATTGGCCCGCCTCTACCGATCCATCAATTTTGATATTTTAGAACATTTTTATTGTAAAACAAAAAAAAATCACATGAAACACCCATTTTCAAGTTTTATGACTTGGTTAACGTACAAAGTACGTTAATTTTATAAAATCTTAAAAATTAGTATAATTTGAAAACGGCTAATTTTCGGACAGTAGTTCCTATTGTAAAATCGACTCAGATTGGCTTGTACTATCTCCCACACCGGCTCCGCATCTATTTTCCCGTGACCCTGTATAGAAGCATATGCAAGATGTCAAAAATGTCAACATAACCTTCCGCATACTTAATTTCAATCAATCTTCTGACATAGATTTGCAATGTATATAATACTTTTATGGCTTCATCAATGCCTGCCGGATTTTTCAGTTTTTTTTTCTATTTAACTAACCTCATCTGCAGTAAACAGGAACACAGACATAGACCACCATTCGATGCATTTTTGCCAAAGTAACGTAAGTCACATTTTTGTGAAAATCATGCTTTTCCATTAACGTAAGGCTTTTATTGTTGAGAAGGTACTGCCAAAGTGTAGGAAGCCTAGATTTTACTTTAAACCTTTGTTTTTAACTTTTCTGAAAACGTATGTCCAGAATTTTTTAAATCATATCCGTAAAAGCAACGTAACTTTAACACTATTTCCATCATAGTAATGCAAGCTAACATTTTTTACCGCCATAATAACGTAAGTCCCTGTCGGTTTCTGCGACTTATGTCAGATTTTCGCAGTCAGTGTTTGGCTTACGACAGTGTTAGGTTCGTGCTACTATCGACTAATTATTGATTTTAGGTCAGTAAATAATAACGACATTTTTTTATAGTTAGAATTCAAAAATATTACAATCTTAACTGATATTATGTAGGTACATATCTATAAAATTCCATTTCATATTCAATTTCGTTCATTTATTACAAATGATTGTGTGATAACCTCAAGGTCTGTGAGAAATTTGCAGGAATGAATCGGTTGAAGTTAAAAAAACGTTTTTTTGTAGTTAGAATTTAAAAATATTAAAACCTTAACTAATATTATGTACCTACCTATAAAACTCCCAGTTCATATTCAATTTCGTTTATTTATTAGAAGTTATTCTGTCATAACCTCGAAGCCTGTGAGAAATTTACAGGAATGAATCGGTTGAAGTTAGAGAAAGACTGTTGTGTTTGTTTCTATTATATATTCATAAATGCTGTTACATTCAGATTATGTCTATGGTCAGTTCACAAACAAAAAGGATTTTGGCGGCTCTTAGCCAAAATGGTGAATCGAATAATGTTTATTCTGAGGAAGAAATCGGGTCTATGCCGATATCCATTACTTCAAGTGACAATAGTTTTGATCTAGATATACTAAGTGACATATAAATCCGAACACCCAGTTTAAATGGTTTTATTTTTATAAAAGTTGGTGAATGTATTTCTCTTACTGTAAATAACAAGTGAAAACATTTTCAGCCTTATCAGTTGGACATTCCGGTTTTTGTTTAATTCACTAACGCTCTAAAAATGAATATTTCAGCCGCAGTAAAGAATCAACGTTGGCGGATTTTGGTTCTTGACATCCTTTACGATCGGTTACGATGCCTAGAGTACGGAGACCTGTACGATTTCGTCAACTTACGGAGTTTGATAGGGGCCGTATAGTGGGACTTCGGGAAGCTGGACTTTCTTTTCGGGCAATTGCAGTTAGAGTGCAAAGAAGTGTAGACACAGTGGTTAGGTGTTGTCAGGCATGGCTTCGAGAAGGCCGTACGCAAAGAGCAAGGGGCACTGGACGCCGCCGTAGAACAACAGACCGTGAAGATCGCCGCCTAAGATTATTGGCCTTAAGGGACCGTTTCTCCACTACCAGGTCCATTGCAAATGAATGGTTTGCGGAACACGGAAGACCTATTGGCATGCGAAGTGTTTACCGACGAATGAGAAGTTTTGGCTTGTTTTCATACCGGCCACACTGGGTCCTCCCTTTAACTCGAGAACACCGACGTAATCGCCTTGAGTGGTGCAGACAACTGTCACTCTGGGATCAGGAATGGAACAGTATTTATTGTCTTTAGTGACGAGTCTCGATTTTGTTTAGGCATGCACGATGGTCGTGCCAGGGTTAGAAGGCGACGTGGTGAAAGGAGGAATCCACAGTTTTTTGTTGAAAGACATGTTCATCACACTGTTGGAGTTATGGTTTGGGGTGCTATAGCTTATGGTTCCAGGTCACCTTTAATCTTCATCAGAGGTAACATGAACGCGCAGCGTTATATCCACGAAGTTCTAGAACCCCATCTTTTACCCTATCTTGACACCCTGGCAGATCCAGATTTCCAACAAGATAATGACCGACCACATGCTACAAGAGTCACAATAGACTTCTTTCAACATAATGATGTCACATTGTTACCATGGCCACCAAGATCTCCCGACTTATCCCCAACTGAGCACGTGTGGGATATGATGGGTAGGAGATTGCTCAATTTGCAACGTCCTCCTCAGACTCTAGAAGCACTTCGAGAGGAGTTGGTGGTTGCCTGGAATGAGATACCACAGGAGGACATTGACCACCTAATCACAAGCATGCCTAGGCGCGTTGGAGAATGCGTAGCACATCACACATTATTAAAGGTCAAAGGGCTTTAAAGCAGTGCAATCATTTTGAAATTTTTATCATTTACTTATTATGCTTCATTGAGTACTTATACAAAATTTTATTAAAATAAAACCATTTAAACTGGGTGTTCGGATTTATATGTCACTTAGTATAATTCCGAAAATATTTTAAAAACTACTTTAGTAAATGAGGACGTAATCGAAATAGATCAATCAATTATATTGTCTTCTAACAATTCGAGTCCTTATGAAAATGATGGTAACCATACTATGCAAGAAGAAATAAATGTACCAATAAGTACTGATAGCTCAAATGGGACAGTGGGTGTTCAATTTGAACAGGAATGCGATGTACAAGAATATTTTAGTGAGTTACATGTCATACCTGCCAGGTTTCACGATGAATTCTTTAAATTAAAATATAAGTCTTCTCTTCTAGATGAGTTAGCAGAAACTGATGCAGAGGATGACAATGAAGATGAAAGCTCCAAAACTTAAAAAAATATATATTTTTTACTAGTAAGAATTTCATATTTCTTTTGTAACTTTTTTTGTGTTTTTTTTTTAATAATAAACGATAGTTTTTAATTCTTTCCAAAATACTTTAAGTGCTATAATTTGCCGCCAAACTGACGTATCTGTGTACTTACGTTACGTTTTTGATCAAGACTTCAAGATTTCTGAACCCGTAAAGTAACGTAAGTATCAATTAACCACTAAAACTATAGAAAAACTTCAAAAATCATTTTTCTTAATTAAATATAGACCTCAGAGAAACACCCTGGTAAATTTTGCACAATTTAAAAAAGTTTAACCAAGTTAAATTAAAAACACGAAATCGTTTTTGGTGACTTACGTTACTTTGGCAAATACGTATCGATATTACAATCAAATTATATGCTTTTCTAAATTCTTAATTATAGGGTGAGAACCTTCTCATTGTATTATGTATAACTGGTAATTCCACAACTTCTAACATCATATCATCATGTATATTTTGTTGTAATTTCCATATGGACCAAAAATGCTCGACCCTATATTCTGACCTATTAATTCATTTTTCATAACCATGTGCTCGTGCTCAGTTTCTCATCATCTACAAGTTCTGGCAATAGAAAATGATGAAGAGCAGTCTCGAGCAAATCTTCA